ATCAGCTGCAGGGTGCACTTACCTTTCACTGTACCTACAAAAAAACCCTCCTCACTATGGATTTACAATTTCCACACTCTTGCAGATACACCAAGCTGGCCTTTTGTTGCCTTACAACACTTCGTGGGTGGGATGAAGGTCTTGTCCTGGCTGGAGGAAGGCAGAGCAAACCCAGCATCCAGAGCAGGCACTGCCAGTGCTCAGGAAGGGCTGCTGTCTTTGCCTCTTGGCTCCATCCACCTTGGCCTCCTGGGTTTGTCTGGTGCACAGGCTGCTTGCAGTGGGAACTGTCATCTGCTGCAGTGGGGACCTTGTCCTTAAACAGCTTCTCTGGCTCCTGAGATAGGGATGTCTCTGATCTCAGGCAGATGTGAAAGCAATTAATAGTATCTGTTAGATCAAAGTCTTTTCATCCTCTGAGCATGACTGATATTTTCTGATCTCCCAGAGTAAAGTTTGGTGCAACCCTCTCAGCCTATTGCAGTTAAGGAATTGCAGGTGTAATGGTTGGGGCAGGTTACCCGAGCTCCAGGTTAGTTCTTAACCATAAAACCATCCTTCAGTCCTTTTCCCTGCCCTTGGGAGAGTGTGTAGGATCCTGGGTGCCGCATTTTCACCACTGGTCTGGTGGTCACGGTGGAGAATTGTTAAAAGAGAAGGTGATGGATGAACCTTCAGCAGTAGGAAGATGAAGTTCTGGAATGAAGAGGTAAATGCCGGATTTGAAAACAAAGGGAGGTGTGCAGGGATGAGCGATAACGTGCCACGGAAAAACAGAATTGTTTTAACTGATGACTAAAAAAGAGAATATGATTAAAACAGGCTGATAAGATGAAACCAAAGTGACAAGATAAAGCAGCAGGGCATCCAGGAGGGGAAGGGGGAGACAGAACTGATGGCAGGAGGGCATGAATTATTGATTGAAATCTCCACCAGGAGTCTTTGCATTTTCTTATCTGGGAAGGGAGAGAACGAATGAGAAGCGAACAGAATTATTAAGCAGCTTTATCATTGCATTGGAGTGGATAATTAGGCAATTAGGACTACTAAAAGTTGGCAAAGCAAGAGGCCTGGAGGTCTTGTGCTCCTGATTCTAGAGGGGGGTGGTGAGGGAAGCAGGGAAAAGCCTTTGGCGAGAGATTTGATGGTGCATCATGGTCAGATGGAAAGGCAGGGCCAGGCTCTGGCACCCAGTGCCCTGCAGCTTCCAGAGCAAAGGGGGACACAGGAGACCTGACTAATGAAAAAGAACTAATTTGAAGATGGGCAGTCCATGGAACAGCAACAAAAAATGAGATCAGGAGTGAAGGCCCCAACTTGTGAAGGATGTGGAACTGCTGGATTGAGTCCGGAGGAGGCCACAAAGATGCTCAGGGGACTGGAGTCCCTCTGCTCTGGGGACAGGCTGGGAGAGCTGGGGGTGTTCACCTGGAGAAGAGAAGGGTCCAGGGAGACCTGAGAGCCCCTTCCAGTGCCTAAAGGGGCTCCAAGAGAACTGGAGAGGGACTTTGGACAAGGGCCTGAAGTGACAGGACAAGGGGAATGGCTTCCCACTGACACAGGGCAGGGTTAGATGGGGTATTGGGAAGAAATTCTTGACTGTGAGGGTGGTGAGGCCCTGGCACAGGTTGACCAGAGAATCTGTGGCTGCCCCATCCCTGGAAGTCCAATGTCACCTACTCTCCCTTTCCAGCCTGCGCCTGCCACAACCTGAACTTTCAGAATGGTTTTGCTTGTGGGGGTTTTTGACTGTCCCCTTAGATCAGGTACCTCCAAGGAAGGGCCAGGCAGACACCACAGGCTGCTGCTGACACTCCTTTAGTTGGCACCATAGCATCTTAATAGCTGGCTGCACATTTTGAAGGGGAAAGCTGGGTAAAAATGACTAAAAATAGCACATTGTGAGTGTCTCAATTCATCCTGGGCTGCTCTGACACCACTGTCAGACAACTGTGCTCCTCCTCTGCGCTCCTGACCAGATTAATCTTCAGCTATATGCTATTTAAAATTAATTTGCAAAGATGCAGACATCATATTATAAATCACTGAGGAAATGTCAGATTATGTATGTAATTTGCAGAAGTGCTCCACACTGATCTTACTTAGCTCCCCATGAAACCAAGGGATCAAAATTAAGCCGAGGCAGAGTTTGGACAGTTCACCATCCTTAAAATGCCATGGAAGACGAGCCAGCACTGCAGACACTTGTTGGTAATTCACACCCAGAGATTGTTGTAATGTCTTCAGGACATCTGGTGATCAGGGAAGGAGAAAGAAGGGGATGATGAAAAATACATGGACTAGAGTATCTCTTACTAATTGTTTGCTTGGCCTCATTGAAAAGTCACCTGGTGTTCTTGGAGAGCGTTGTGTGTTCATGAGGAGGTGCCAACCACAATGTTCCTCTTCCAAGACCAAGTTCAGAATATTAATCATGGATAATGATGCATAATTAGAGCCTGAAGTCCAGAGTTAATTGATGGTAGCTGCTTAGCATAGATATCAAATCCAACCTGAAATAATGCTTTATCTCCTACCCACACCCCACAGTGTCTCCAGATGGGTAAAGAGTTGTTGCAATAAGTGCTTGGTTTTGATGACACAGTGACTTGTCATTTCCTCAAAGGTGCTAGAACAGTTTTGTGCGTTAGTGACATGAAAAGTGTTTGTAATTCATGGTAATCCAGAGCTCCTTGACTTGTCCTGGCCCCAGCCTGACAGGCTGCAGAGTCCAGGACCTCGGTTGTGATGGCTCCGCACTCTCTGCTCCTCCCCAGGAGAGGTGAATCCACTGCTGCCACACACCAGTGCAGTTCTGCCAGGACACTCAAGGGTTTTTGACCTTCTGCTGCCTTAATCTCATGAATTTGGGGCCATTATTTTCCTCTAGCAGAGGTCAGAGGCTGCGACCCAGCCAGCCAGCCTGTGACTGCATTAGAGCATCCCTTGGATAGCCATCCAGTCTGGCAGATATCACCTTGGGTTGTTTTTCCTGTGGCCTGGGTTGATTCCCAGAGGCATCTGACACGTGCTCTGCATGGCTGAAAACAAGGCTGGTTTTAATAACGAGCAATTATGTGATAGCAAACAAAGATTTGTACTATGGAGCTCGTGGGTCCCAGCGGACGCGCTGCCGTTGTTCTGTGGAGCAGAGGGGAACGAAGCCAGAGCCTGTGTTTGCTGGAAATAGGTAATAGAATATTATTAGATCAGCCCCTGCCTCTGCCTTGGCAGAAACACTGCAGAGTTAATTGCTGCTTTAGAGCACCGTTGTTCAGCTGCAAGAAAGTGGGTCGGCTATTGAGGAGATCACTGATCCCATATAGTTGATGTGAGAGACATAAAAATAGGCTTTGTGCTCTGCTTGAGTTTGGGCCAACTGAGCAGCACGGTGGCTTTCATCAGTGGTGGGCACACACTGAGGGTACCTGTGTAGGGGACATCAGTCCAAAGCCCTGTGGTTGTTACTGTGTGGCTGAGCCACTGTCACCACCCCTCCTGGCAGTGTCACACCTGGAAACCCAGCTGAGAAACCTGGCCCAGGGGAACCACGAATTCCCTTCCTCTCTAGTGTTCCACTGGGAGCGACTTCAAGGCGTGCAGGATGGTGATGGCACCTCCATAAACTGAGTTCACTATGGCTTAGTCCATGCAGGGCAAGATTAATGGTGGGAAGAGTTGATAAAAGTAGATGTCTTGCCCTCTCCTAGTGCTGTGGGTGTCTCTCTCCTGGATAATTCATCTTTTTTCCCAGGTCCTTGTCAGACATGAGTTTGTGTGTGTGCACCTGTGCCTGTTTCACATGTTTTCACCTCTAGCTAATTTGGGATCCCTTTTTTTTGGAAGTGTTATGTTACTAACACTTAAAAGGGGAGTATTCAAATCACTTTGAAATTGTGGTCTGAGTCATAAAATAACCATTTACTGCTGGCCCCTCCCCACTCACAGCAAGGCTCCCTTCTGAAGGATGCCCTGGGTGGTGTACGTGCATGTGCAGACTCTAATACTGCTGGATGCAAGCTTTGAAAGGACCTTCTGTAACAAAGCAGGCTTGGAGATAGGGTCTCACTCCATAAATGATGGGTTACGCTTGAAATTTAATGTGTCCTGGGAGAAATATCCCTCAGAAGGACATTGGTGTATCCAAGAGTCCCCTTGTACCTGTAACATCGTCCTCCTGGAGAAATGCAAATGCTTGACCAGGCTTAAAACACACTTGGTGAACCCTGGAAAAAACAACATTTAACTGTTTACTTGCTTCTTACCTATGAGCAGGAATTAGTTAAAATCCTGGTGGATCTCTGTGGGCGTTTCGCCCTCAGACACATCCAGGGCCCCTGTGGTGTTGATATTCTTTGGGATTAGCTGGATATTTCATCCCAAAGTCCATGCCATCACAGAACTTTAATTCTCAGGTATCATGTTTCACAGGACTTATATTAACTCTTAGGAAAAGAAAGTCACTGTGCTGGCAGTGTAAATTCACTTGGTTTACCAGTTTAGCACCTCCAGTGCTACCCCAGCCCCCTGGTGGCTTCCCAAAGCAGGCAGTGGCTCTTCCAGAAAAGCCAGGGAATAAAAGACAGGGAATAATACTTTTTTAGCCATGATTACAGGCTGTATCAAATAGAAGGAAGAATATCTACGTGGAGGAGGCCAGTGGAAGAAGGTACCTGCGCTGTAAGGTTTTCTTCTTGTCCTTGTATGAAAAGTAAAAATCCACAACCTGAAACACTGTTTTTATATTCCCTTTTTTACCACTCTGAAGATGTGAATTGCTCAGGCAAAAGTGAGCTGCTTGCCTGCCAACTCACTTGAAGAGTTGCTCTTGTTGATTTTCAGCTGCATTTGCTCTTTCTCATGAATGAGAAGAGAGGGAATCTAATGTAAAGTCTTATCAGCTTGTCAAGTTAATTACTGTCTATTTTAATACTATCATTATCATTCGTTACTAATTAATGTAAGTAACATGATTACAGCCTTTTTGTCTTATTTTTCAGTGAGAAGCTGGATGGAGAAGCTGAAAGATAAGGTAGGAGGCTCAGTGTTTCAATTCCTTTCAAAGCAAAACATGTTTACTTGCAGGAATAAATAAACTCGTGTCAGTGCAGTTCTTTATCTCTACAAAGACAATTGAGAAAGGGCTTAAAATTTTCTCTGGAAGGCAAATGAACCAGAAGCTGCTGGTATATGCTGGTGTGAATCCACAAGACATCCCTGATGGGCAGTAACTAAGAGCAGAAGGAGGGACAGGGGTATTTGATTGATGTCTCTGCACTAGAAAATGACCTTGTTGTCAGACAACAAGAGCTACTTTTTTAGTGCCCCTTATCATAGAATCACAGAATAGTTTGAGGTTGAAGGGACTTTTAAAAGGCCATCTAGTGCAACCCCCCTGCACTGAGCAGGAACATCTTCCACTAGATCATAATCAGGTTGCTCAGGACCCTGTCCAACCTGACTTGGAGTGTTTCCAGGGATCCCAGGGTAAGGAACTTACCTCCACACCTTTTCCCTTAAGTGCTAAGCTTGGTTCTGAATCCAAAACAAGAGATTTTTGGTGCTCCTCTCTGGTGAGAGGCTGTGTGCCATGTCACCTCTTGGACAAAACATTCCCTGCCTCCACGTGCACGAAGAGCTGCAAATCCCTGGAAGGAGAAAAGAGTAAACACGAGAAGACTGAGAAGATAGCAGGCCCTGATCATTTCTCCCTGGCATCACAGGGGGTAATCCATTGGAATCAAGAGCTGTGCCAGCCACAGGCAGTGATGGCTTTTTAGGCTCTGCTGCCCTGGAGCAAATATTAACATTTTGAAACGGTTGTGAAACCTTCCAAATGTTGTGTTGCTGGTGGCAGAGCCGGGAAGCTGGAAATGAAGGTGGCAGTAGTGGCAAGAACGTTTTGTGAGTCAACAAGGCTGGGAAATTATTGGAAAGGATCAGAGTCAATGGATGAAAAAACCACCACAAGGAAACTCTGAAAATACATCTCTGAGCTGAAGCAGCCTGTCACCCCAGGAGCCCAACCTTCCCACATGGTCCTCACCAAATTTCAGCAGCACTTTACCACCAAGTCAGAGCAGAGAGATGGGGTCTGGGTATCAATTTTCTAGGACAGGGGAGTAGAAGGGTTTAAGGTGGGTTCCTGCCCAGCCTTTTTTGAGTTGCTTTTCTGCCCTTCCCAGGAAGGAGGAATGTCTAGTACGAGCTCTGCTCATGGCAGAGCTCTTTGGCCTGGGATTCAGCCCGAGCGGACGCTGAAAGGACAGAGAATGGTTTTCCCAGTGAAGGTAAAGAGCAGACACCAGGGCTGGCTGGGTGCCTGGAGTGAATGCAGCATGCACAGGGCACCTGCTCATGCCAACTGCTCATGCCAACACGTGGCACACACGAGCCTGGGGACATCAGTGTGTTCTCACCGAAGTGTAGCTTTCACTTCTTTGTAGCTTTCTCTTTGGCACCTTGGCCTCCTCTGTCCTTCCCCGTTGCAGAGGGGGTGCTTGTTCCATGTTCCAGCCTCTTGCAGGTAGATCCTGGACTGCCTGGAAGTGCCCAGCACAAGCACTGGTGTAACTGAGGATGCACTGGTGTCCACTTAAAAGAGAGATTTGGCCCTGAGCCATCTCCCTCCTTTGGGGAACAGCAGACACGTGGAGGCAGATCTGTCACCTGGCTCACATTTTCCCTTAGAAGAGCCCAACAAAAAGCACTTCCCCACCCCCAACCAAATGCTGGTGTAGCAAACAAACCTGTTCACCCCATTCCCTCCTCTTCCTTGTTGAGTTTATCAGCACCAGTTGTATGTGCCCTACTCATTTGCCCTTTTCCTCTGTTTTACAATCCCTCCATCCAGAAGAGGATCCTGGCACATGATGGCCCTATCCCTGAGAGATTCATCCTTGTATGTCCCTCTCCATGAGAGAGGAAAGTGTGTGGGGAGCGTGGGACCAGGAGCAGGGGGCAGGGACAGATTTGTGTCTGGCCTCCTGCAAACACTGTGCAAATGTTGCATTTGGTGTGGTGGATAATGGACATGAGGTTCCTCTGAAGTTCTCTTGCTGTTATCTCAAAGTTCAGGAAGGTCACAGTCATGGACTGGGTGTACTAAAAGCATCCCTAAAAGAAGCTACATCTTCCCCATGGGAAAGGGTCAAAAACATGGCTTTGGAGCTGCCTGTAAAATGGGGTTTTCTATCAAGCAAGTGCAGAAGCCCTCAGGAGTTGGGCTGCACAGCACAGAAGAGCTGGGCCTGCATCACATCACAGGCTTTTGGGGTATAAAACATTGATCTGGGTTTTGAGGGAAACCTGTAAAAGGCCACAGGCTGGTCAGGTGTGATAAAGGCTCACAGACAGGCTAAGGAGTTTGTTATATTAAAAGTAGTGATTTCTAGGTGGGAACTCAACTGGGCAGCAGCTAAAAGCCATTTCCAGTTGCTGCCTGTGTCAGCAGCAAAGTTCTAGAAATAGAAAACCCCACGCTGCACTAATTAGGTCACCCAATTAAGGCACCTTAATTGCCTCGCAGAAATAGAGCCTTTTTAGCTGTGTTCTCACTAACCTCCTTTTTTCAGGAGCTGGGTGCAGGGATGCAGCCCCCTCCCAGCACCTGTGCTGAAGGCAGATGGGTTTTCTGAGAGGGTGTTCAGGGAATCTGCATGATGCAGCTGAAGATCCCTCAAGCCTTGGGATCCACACACAAAGGTGTTACTATTTAAAGCACTGAGTAGGATCTGGAGGGGTTTGGGAGAGCAACCCAGCCCTTGTTACCTTTGTGTCTGCCCTAGATGAAAGCAGTTATTTTCATTCTCTAGGTAAGGATACAAAGGCAGGGCAGTGCACCTCAATAGCTTCCTTTTTTTTTTTTCCCCTCCCACTCTGTGAATTATGGAAGAAAAGTAATTCTGGTGTGTGTGTTGTGGCTCTGTGTTGAAGTTTGGGAGTGCAGATGAAGATGAGTGGTTGTAAGCAATGAGCTGAGCTCTGAGAGCTGGCTGATAGTCCTCAGGATTGGTGCATCTGTCCCTTGGCAGGTGTAAAATCTATTTTGGGGGGTGGACATGGCGAAGGGTGAAGCTGTAGTGGCACAGCAGAGGACTCTGCTGCTGCAGTGTGAAGAAAGGCAGAGCTTCTGAGGGAGGGGGCCAGGCTGTACCTGCCTCCCTTGCAACACTGGGCCCCCCAGCCTGAATTCTGAAGGAGTCTGTCACCTTGGAACTTATGTTCATTTTCATTTGAAGCAGTAAAATATAAAATAACAAGGACTAGGGAATATTTTCCAAAGGATTTTAAATGTTTAGATGTGTAATTTTTAAATTAGTCTTGCTATCTATATGTTTTTTTAATGGGCTATGCAAACATACGGATCACAGCAATGGAATTAGAGCTGATTTACTTTTGCTGTGCTTCCCTTAGGGCCAGTGTGCCCTCCCTCTATGTCATCATCCTGCTCTCATGCAAGGGACCCCTTCCCATGCAAAGAAAAAGTGTTTGGCTCAAAGATTTTGAGTACAAAGCAGAGGAGACCCAAGCTGGGCTGGGCACAGAGAGGGCAGGGGGGTTGGAACGAGATGATTTTTAAGATCTCTTCAAACCCAAACCATTCTATGATACACCTGTGCCTTTATTTGTAGTAGTGGTACCTGGGGAGCTCAGAGCAGCACTCAGCCTACTGTACACAGCATCTGGTCAGGCTCTTTGGGTGGTCACAGATCTTTGGTGTGACTTGAGATTGCCTGGCCTTGGTGGTTGAGGTTTTCCTTCACACTTACACCCATATTGACAGACGCTTCACCCAAATTGTTCCTTCTCCTAAATCTGGGCAGGCACTGCAGGTTCTCAACTATCAACAGCACATATCTGTTAGAGAAAGCTGATGGTGAGGGAGCTGTGGTGGTTTGACAGCTTGGTCCTGGAGTGGGGCTGGTTGGGGCTTGCTTAGCCCCTGGAACCAGGGCTCATCCTGTGCAGGCAGGTGGTAGGGACTCAAATCCAATGAACTTTGAGGAAAGCACCACAGGGATACATTTCAGACCCAGAACTGGTGAAAACTGACTCTGAAAGGATGGTCTTGTGAGTGCTGCTCTGCTTCTCTTTCCCGCTTAGGCAGGATACATGTCGGGGATGCTGGTTCCCGTGGGAGTGGGGATAGCAGGAGCCCTGTTTATCCTGGGAGCACTCTACAGCATCAAGATTATGAACCGCCGAAGGAGAAATGGCTCGAAGAGACATAAAAGAAAGGTATGGGAACTGCAAAGAAAGACCCCAATCCCACCCATTCTCCCATTAACCCTTTTGGCTGCAAAGCGAGCGCAGCCTGGGTAGGATTGAAGTGCCCTGGATGTCTTGGTTAGGAGATGGGGGGGGATCCAAATGCCTTTTATCCAGTCTCCTTTTTGCACGTGGAGCTCTTTCATGTCTCTTTTTCCCCCCCAGCAGAGGGAGTTTAACAGCATGCAGGACCGAGTCATGCTCTTGGCTGACAGCTCTGAAGACGAATTTTGAACCGGACTGCGGTGCCCTTGTGACTTTTCTGAGGAGGGAGGGAGAGGGAGAAGAAGAACAAGTGACTCTGTGCTGCATCCCTGCTCTCTCCACCACCCCAGGGCCCCAGCAGGGCTCAGTGCCCTGGCCAAGGCATGCTACGCTCTTCGTGTCCCGCCAGTGATGTTTGTTTGATACAGTAGTGGAGATTTCACATTTCAGATCCACAGCGCGTCTTGTTACAGCTGGAGCTGATCCATATGGATGATTATTTTCCTATCACCCTGGTGTACTGTTTTGGTCCTGGCTGGCAGTAATCTAATCATAACAATAGCTCTCACCTAACCCGGGAATGGAAATCTTTACTGTGAATGACTGCTGTCCAATTAATTTTAAATGTTACATTACCTGAGCTAGAGTTCATTAGTGCTAAGATTAGCTGCTCTGCTTAATTAATGAGTTGTACACCTGAACTGTGTCCCTGGCCACCTGAGAAGTGCCCATGTACAGTGTTCTTGATTCAGTTTGAAGCACATTTCTGCACTTGGGTGCCCGACTCTCACCCTTGCTCTCTCCCTTCAGCTCTGCTCCACACTGCTTGGAGACACATGGGAATGGCCTCAGCACTTGATTTCACCACAAAAATCCTGTCCATTTTCAACCAGCACCGTCTGTTACAGCACAATAAATACCAGCGCTCGCCTACTGACGGGTGGTCTTGCATGGATCTCTCAGCTCTTGGTCAGTGTAGGTCAGAGAACAGGCAGGTCAGAGGCTTCCTCAGCTCCTGCCTCCTGTTTGAAGGACACTAGTTAGTGGTTCATCTCTTTCCAAGGCTGCTTTCCCATAGAGATGAAAGAGGAGCATCTGTCCCGCTGGAAATTGCATTTTCAGCCCCTGAAAGCTGCACGAACAGCACCTTTGGGGGATTTGGATGGGTCTTGTCTTATAGAATCACAGAATGGTTTGGGTTGGAAGGGACCTTCAAGACTGTCTCATTCCACCCCTCTGCCACGGGCAGGGGCACCTTCCACTAGACCAGGTTGCTCCAAGCCCCTGGCCTTGGACACTTCCAGGGATGGGGTAGCCACAGCTTCCCTGGGCAACTGGTCTCCAGACCACGGGGTACAGAAAGGCACTCAAGGTTGTGGAGCAGGTGACTGTCAGTGTTGAGGGATTCCTGGCTAATAGTGGGAAAGCAGCCACAGCTGGAGAGGTGTTTGCTGTGGGGATGTGAAATGCCCACACTGGGAACCTTTGGCCATGGGGGGGAAGGTGGAGCTGTAGGACAGGTGGATTCAGGGGTCATGGTGGTGAAACCAAGGGTGGCACAGAGTGAGGGCAAGCTGCTGTGCTGCCTGGGTTAGCCCTGCTAGCCCTGGGTTACAGGGGGAGGCACAGCCAGTGCCTGAGATGTCACAGGCACCAGACAGGGGAGGCTGATGTTGCTTTGCACAGAAACGCTGTCAAAATAGCCAGAAAAGGGGCTGCGTTACTTGATCTCTGCTTCTGGTTATGGAATTACTTCAGTCTGACATTTTGTGCAAAGCATCCATGTTTCTGAGGTGGGAATCACTGTTTTGTGGAGAATCATCCTTGATGTTATGAACAGTGACTGTTGCCAGAGGAGACCTGATCAGAGAAATAAGGGCAGACCACACATCTGTGAGATTAAATCTCACTGAGCCTTTGAAGAAGTGGAGGGAGGAGAGTTTGAGGAGGGGCAGGTACAGGATGTCATTCCTTGTGAAGGTGGAAAGATGGTAAAAGGTAGATGTTGATGATGGGAAGCAAATGCCTCGTGGGAGTGTAAGTGGGATTGCAAGGTAGAAAGGACATTCAGAAGCCCCTCCTCAGGCTGAGGTCTCTCTGAGGAGGTCAGAACCTCCTCTGGACATTAAGTCACCAGATGTGATGTTCAGCTCTGAATAATCTGTGCTCTTCAGAGCCCAGGTACTTTCCTGTGAGCCTTACCTCTACACCTACTGAGTCATCTCCCATCTGGAGAAGGGCAGGTGGGACAACCTGGTTTCAAAATGCTGCTGATGCAAGTCTTCCAGTCAAACAGCTGTGTGTGGTCCCTTACACATTCATCCCACCAAGTTTATGGGAAGCAGGCTGGGGAGACTGGTCTATCAACATTTTGGGGAAGGTCTTCATACCCTAGTCCCTCTAGGTCAGGCTTTCCCAGGCAGGGCTCCACAGTGCATCTCTCCCTTCTTGTTCCTGAAACTTTAACGAGGAGAATCTTGCCCTGCTAAAATCAGCCCCACATCTTTAACAGGCACTGAGGGGCAATCCACCAAGTCCAGGTGCCCCTACCCAAAATTAAAGCCTCTTTCTCCCATAATGAGCGATCACTCCAAGTTAAGATGAAGTTTTCCTTCCAGACTCATCTGTCCCTATTTTCTTCTCATTCCTGTCTCTTGGAGGTGCTCAGGAAGTGCTAACAGCCCAGGTGAGCATTGCTGACTGTCTTGCAGCATTGGAAATCAGGAAATGTTGTCCCTTGGGCTCTTTGGTGATTTATTCCTGGCAAGGTATGATGGGGGTTGCAAAGTGAAATGACTTCTCCCTTCCAGGTTGCTGGAGCCTGCCAGGCAGGCTGGAAATGAGACTCAGGCAGCTGCAAGGTGTTCTTCAAGTGCTTTACCCTGGTCCAGCATGGGAGGCACGGGGAATCAGCAGTGATAAAGGGCCTTGGCCTCTGCAAGAGGGAGGCTGTCTTGGAGCATAAGTTGTATTAAGTACCCAGTAAAATGCAGAGCTGCTGGGCCTGTCAGGAGAAGGAGGAGGGATGGCTGAGCAAAGCTGCAGGCTGCTGGTTTAAGCACCCCAGCTCTGGCAGCACAGGAGGATCTTTCTGGATGGGTTGTCAATTTGATGGATCGGGAAGGCGGGCAGGGAGGTGCCATGGCCTCTGGTTGTGCTAACAAATCCACAGTTTGGGAAACACTGGCTTTCTGCAGTGGCAATCAGTCTCCCTGTCTCTCTTCTCCCACCCCAACATAATGAACTTCAGGAGTTAAAGGCAGCGCTGTCAGTCAGAATGACAAAGGTGGGGTTTTACTGCATCAGCTGGGTGCCCTGGTGTCCTCAGAACCAGGCTTCCCTCAGAGGGGACACGGCAAGGCTGGGTGGGATGCTGGAAATCAGCAGTGCCACAAGTGGGGCTGACAGTACAGCCTGGGCAAGCAGGAGAGTGGCAGCCGAAAGGGAGATTCAGCTGCATGCACAGTTCAGTGTGGGCTCTCTGGTCTGTGCTGGAGACAGAGTTAGCAACTAGAAGGGTTTTGCTTGTGGTCCATCCTCACTTCCAGGCCTGTCTCTGACTCTGAACACCAACCAAGGAGCCTTGACTGGGAGCTGACTACTGTTGGCCAACTTTCTGACCCGCTCAGCAGTGCAGAGATCCCAGCTGATGTCCATTCGAAGTGGAGGTGTCTGTTGAATAGTTGGTTTTGGTCAGGTACAGGCTTCCCATGTCTTCAGCTTAAGCTGGAAGCAAGCTGGACAGTCAGGACCAGCCTTGGATCCCAGGGAAGCTTGTGGGAGCCTTTGGAGCACAGACAGGGTTTCCTGCAGTGCCCCTGGCATCAGTGCAGTTTGTGAAGGTCCTGAAAGCACAAGCATCACTCAGCTCCTTCCCTTCTCATCCAAGGCCAGTAGACTTTGGATTGGACTCTTAAAATTATTCTCTATACAACTCCTGGAGTTTAATTCATTTCCTTGAACAGAGATGGCAGGAGGGAGGGGAGGAGGGGTTAAGGTGGGAGCTGAAGCTCCAGTGGCTTAAGGCTCTGCTGATTTAATCTGTACCTCTGCGTTGCCAAACAAGCAGATTCTTTTGAGAGAGAGAGGACAGGAAAAGCAGCCAAGAAGGATCCTCCTCATCCTCTGTGCTGGGTGAACTGCAAGCCCCTGAGTGCTGAGGTGACACTGGCACGGCTGCGACGGCGACTTCGCTGCAGCAATAGAATAATCCCTCGACTGACACAAGACAGGTCACTCGCCTCTGTTTTGCATTTTCCTGATAGCACAAGCCAGAATTTATTGAAGGCATCACACAACAGCATCTCCAGCCCCGTTTCTGACAGGAGGAACCAGCCTGGTGTGCGGCTCTTGCCCTGATGAAATGCACCTCTTCCATACAGCTGCTGATTTTTAAAGGTGTCTCTAAGGCCAGATGTTCCCCCTGGTGAGGTTTCTCTGGACTGCACTGCTTCCATAGAGTGATGTTAGCAGTCCTCATGCTTCCTCGTGGTTTTCTATTTTGGACAGGAATGACTCCTCATACTGTAACTATGGAATGTAGCACTTTGTTAAATGAAAACATTGGGAAATAAAAAGCTGTCCATCATAGCTCACTCTGAGCGCCTCGTCTCCCTGGTCTGTGGTTCATGGCATTCACTGACTCTCAGGTAAAGCTGTGAGGGGATCATTTGGAAGACCTGAGTGTTGTGTTTCTTTCTCCACACTGCATGGCCTGGGCAAGGACCTAGGCTGGGCTTGCAGGGGTGATAGGAGCCCTGGGGAACCTCAGCCTGGGACTTTTTGGGTGGGATTTACCAGGAGGTAGGTGTTTGCCATAGGCTGTGATGAATAACACCCCAAAGTCCCTTGGTGTGTTTTGCAGTAGCAGGAATGAGCCCCAGTACTGACTTTCCACGTGGCCAGAGGTCTCTCTGTGCACACCAGGACATTTTTCTTTCTGTTTTGTCCCATGAGCAAAAGGTCTGTGCCCAGACCTTTCAAGACCCCAGTAATACAGCACTGGTGAGCTTTGAGTGTCAGTTGTAGGTGCTGCAAATGTTTCATAAAGCTGCCTTATTGCAGGTGAGTATTCATAGAATCACAGAGACATGGAATGGTTTGGGTTGGAAGGGATCTTAAAGGCAATTTTGTTCCAACCCCCTGCCATGGGGAGGGACACCTTCCACCAGACCAGGTTGCTCCAAGCCCCATCCAACCTGGCCTTGAAAACTTCCAGGGATGGGGCACCCAGAGCTTCTCTGGGCAACCTGTGCCAATGGCTCACCACCCTCACAGCCAAAATTTCTTCCCAATATCCCATCTAACCCTGCCCTCTGTCAGGGTGAAGCCATTCTCTCTAGTTCTGTCACTCCAGGCCCTTGTCCAAAGTCCCTCTCCAATTCTTTTGGAGCCCCTTTAGGCACTGGAAGGGGCTCTCAGATCTCCCTTGAGCCTTCTCTTCTCCAGGCTGAACACCCCAAGCTCTCCCAGCCTGTCTCCATGGCAGAGGTGCTCCAGCCCTCAGAGCATCTCCGTGGCCTCCTCAGGACTCGCTCCAGCAGCTCCATGGTTTGCTGGAGGCTCTGGAGCTGGGTGCAGCACTGCAAGTAGAGTCTCCTGAGAGCAGAGTAGAGGGGCAGAATCCCCTCCCTCCCCTGCTGCTCACCCTGCTGGGGATGCAGCCCAGGACACAGTTGACTTTCTGGGCTGCCAGTGCCCATTGCCAGGTCGCATCCAGCCTCTCACCCACCAACACCCCCGAGTCCTCACTGCACACCCTTCCATGGACCCACAATCCAAGCAGCAGGATCAGAAGGACTTGAGAGTGAGTAAAAGTGTATGGACTGGCTTTGGAATTGTCCTCCCAGCCCTGTTTGCAGATGTCTTTGCATGCATTGAGTTCCTGCATGTGAGAACAGGGGCTGGGGGCACATCCCGTTGCCGTGGAGGTCCCGGGGTGGGAATGTGAGCCCTCCCAGTGCACAGCCAGAGGTGGGGGCTGCCTGCCCCTCTCCCCTCTCCCTCTGCTAATAAGAGCCAACGAGATCTATTTGTCACTGTGTGTGTTTTCTCTAATGGAAAATGGCTTGTTCAAAACAAGATATTCCCAGGGAAATAGCTGTTTGGGGATTGCACGAACACATTCTTTGCTAATTGGCAGTTGCCAAAAACAATCTGTATATTCATGAAGCTGTTTGCTGCATTGCTGGCTTTTTCCAGTGGAAAAAACAAAACCTGCTGAAAGAAGATAAACAATGACAATGTTTTTTTTTTTCCCCATAGGTTTGTTTCCTTAGGAAATTACTCTCTGTGAGCCTCTGCCCATCAACCTGTCTCCTTCTAATGTGCCTGACTCTGCCAGCCAAGCCAGGGGTTTGTGAAAACTGGGAGGAGGAGAGAGACCATATTAAAAACAAACAAACAAGAAAAGCATGTGTGGAGCTGTTCTAAGGCTGCAGAAAACCTGCATATGCAGGTTATATGTGCCCTGATGGAGGGGATGAGCTGAATATCCTGGATACCCATTGGGGTTCCTACCCTGTGTGGGGTTCCCTGGTGCTGAGCAAAGCATGAGATGAGTCTGGCACAAGGCTCAGCTTAATTCAGTCACAAGCAGCACGCTGATCGTGCAGAGGAACACTGACAGCCCAGCTTGGGGTGGTTTTGATTGATGCATTTTGGAAGGACAAACCAAAAGTCATTCCCCGTGTGCTGTGGTGGTAAAGCCACCCGTGAGTGGTTGTCACCCCTGTGCCTGAGCCCAGCAGGGTCTGTGCTTGGGGCCAGGCACAAAAAACTCCTTTATTTTGAGGCAAGTCTCACCCTGCACCTGTGAAACCCCCAATGCATATGGGGATTATAAATGCTTTAGGGTTGGACCTCAATGGGCAAAAATTTAGTGCACAGGGACGTTGACTCTCAGCTTGCTCAAGGCTTGTGGTGGTTTCCCCTTTTTCCCCAATGGTCATGCTCTCCCAAGGAAGAGGTTTGGGTCTCAGCCAGCAGCAGGGAGTCAGCAGAGGTGAGGGTGGCACTTCCCAGCAGAAGCATTTTCACCCTTGGAAATCCCTTCCTAATGGTAAGTGCTGGGCACTCTGTGCTCCACAGATCCACGTGGTATTTGCCACACAAATTTTCCACCTGCCAGGCACAGTGGTTTATTTCTGATTTACTCCAAGTTGCTTTGACTCAGGTCTTTTCTCAGTCTGGTTTCCTAGAGTCTTACGCCTTCTGTAACATAAGACTTATTGCCTGAGGAATCTGCTGAAGGACACACAAGAGGGATCCTTGATGGGGCTCTGGGAGCAAAGTCTTTGAAGCAGAACCCAAAGGTAGGACGGGAAATGGTGACAATCTCTTCCCAGAGCAATGGAAATGTGCCACTCTCCTTCTGTCCAGCAAAAGGCTCCTTGTTGGAATGGGCTGGGTTCCAATGCTGGTGTTTCTGCTTTTCTCATCAGAGAAGTAAGAGGAGCACACGAACCCTCTTGGCACAGCTCACGGGCTGCTTAGTCCTTGATGGGGACAGCCCTGAGACAGACAAGGTGTGAGACCAGCTCCATGCCTTGTAGGAGTTGGTGGATCCAGGTGCAGCCTTTGGCTGGCACCTACAATTTCATTCTGGGGCTGAAAGAGGATCCTTGATGTCCAGGCAGGAATATTGATGGGCGAAGGGGAGTCGGTCTCTTGTCCCGAGTGACAAGCAATAGGACAAGAGGAAATGAGTTCATGTTGCACCAGGGGAGGTTTAGATTGGATATTGGGAAAAATTTCTTCGCAGAAAGGGTGTTCAGTCATTGGAACAGGCTGCCCAGGGCAGTGGTGGAGTCCCC